AAAAAAAAAAAAAAAAATCCATGTGTGTATAATGAAAATTAAATGAATAAATATTGCTTATAGCCGTTACTGGAAAAAAAAAAAGGAAAATAAATAAATTGGGAAGGAGGGGCTTTTGCTTATAGTATATTACCAAATGCAAACTGTAAAGCTGGAGAAAGCGCTAGAATTGCAAAATCATTTTGCAAACATCGAGTTAAAGATCAGTGCGGGGACATTTTCATAGGCAAGATATTTGCGTGGTCTGAAAGTGTACGTATACTGGTTATACATTCCAGGTGGGAGGAAATACAGAGACACCGGACAACACCTTGACCAAGTGATCAAAATTTACCAGTCAATGAGGGGGCAGATGGATATCAAGTCATTCTGGCAAAAATGCATATACTAATTCTAAATATGAGTAAACATCAAACTCAAAATGAGTTGTTTTCTGTTTAAAAAAACAGGAGAGCGGATCACAGGAGTTTGAAACCAGCCTGGCCAACATAGTGAAATCCTGTCTCTATTTAAAATACAAAATAATTATCTGGGGGTGGGGGTAGCGCCTGTAATCCCAGCTACTCAGGAGGCTGAGGCAGGAGAATCTCTTGAACCTGGGAGCCGGAGGTTGCAGTGAGCAGAGATCACACCACCACATGCCAGACTGGGCGACAGAGCAAGACTCCGCCTCCAAAAAAAAAAAAATGACATAAAAGATCAAAATGAGTCATGACAGCCATAGCCATGTCTGATTCTATACTAGGTTTACTGGAGGGAAAAAATGCTACAAATGACATCATTGGGCAGATGCCAGGTTAAAGTAGCAAATCAATGTTTTGACAAAGTAGAGAACCGTCCTGCAGTTATGTAAGAGAATGTCGGCCGGGTGTGGTGGCTCACACCTGTAATCCAAGCACTTTGGAGGCCAAGGCGGGCAGATCACCTGAGGCCGGGAGTTCAAGACCAGCCTGACCAACATGGTGAAACCCCTGTCTTAAAAAAAAAAAAAAAGAGAATGTCCTTATTTTTAGGAAATAAGCATTAAAGTATTTAGGAGTAAAGGCCTATGATATGTGCAATTTACTCTCAAATGCCTCCATTTTTTATGAAGAAAGAGAAAGGGAGAGAGAAACCCTGACAAACGGGGCAAAATGTTAATAAGTGAACAACAGGGGAATTTGGGTAAAGTGTGCATGGTTTTTTTTGTACTTGCAACTTTCCTAGAAGTTTAAATTATTTATCAATAAAATATATTTTTAAATATATCCCATATAACTAAAAATGTCCTGGGTGTATTCCGTCAGCATTCACAGAAATACCCAGTTGAATACCTGCCATCCACACGGGTAGATCTGCAGCAATCCTGAACTCAACTCTGCTCTCCAAATAACATTTACACTGAGTTGCCCTTCCAAAACTAGAAGAGTAGATTAAGCCCTTGAGTCTTGGATTCACTTCAATGAATAATCTGGGAAAAACAAAAAATCTAAGTGTGACTTCTACTTGACAGACAGCTGTAATGTAACTGGAACAAGATCAGTGTGAAATTCCTTTTATACCAATTCTGTACAAAGAGTGCAAGAACTGATGCTTCATATTTTATTTCCCCTCTGCCCTCCCATCCCACCCTTGGTGATGGTTGTACCCATTTGAGCATTTCTGAGCACATGACCATAAGTAAATCTTGAGAGAGGAGCAGAATTCTTGTCTAAAGAGTAACAGAAGGGGATTAGCTGCAAGGATAGCATAACTGTTGTGCAGGAACAGAAGCTGCCCATATCTTCTTGGTGGACAATGCATAGAAGACTTAGAATTATGGAACATCTGTCCCCCCAACCACCCTTTCCCACCTGTCTCCCAAACCCTCACTCCCACCCTATACCCCACCCCATTAATAGTGTTAACAAAAGCTTAATCTTCCAGTTTTAAAGTGCAAATGATTTGGGTATGACTGCTGTTGCAACAGGTCTGAACAGAAAAAAAATGAAGTCTTCTCTGTTTATGTGATGTTTTCCAGAATATAAAAGATGAGTTCCATGACGACAGGGCCCTCACTGAGCTGGCAGGCCCCTCCATGGATCACCGGTACCAAGGCGCTGTCTAGATCATTCATATACTGCGAGGGAAGGGGCTGGCCATTGCTCCCTGCTTGATAGCCAACCTACACCACAGAGAGAAAAGGAAGAGAGGTTATTCAACAGAGAAGCCTCTCCAGGGCTGAGGGCAAGGAGGCTGAGCAGGAAAGGAGATACCCTTTTTGGCCATAGGCTAGACACATGGTAATGAATACAAATTTATCCTCTCTTCTGGATTGTCACTTATCCTGTTGTTTACTCTTCCTGACCACTTGACAGCCATGAGGTACTGGGTAAGCCACGTAACCTGTTATGGTCGTAGTTTTCTGGGGAAGGGGAGAGGTGCATAAAAAGGTATAGAGTATCAGAAATAATACCTTAACCTTTGGTTGTGAAAATTAAAATGAGAAATATATAATGTACAACTCCCTAACATACTAGGAACTGAATATTTGTTCGTGCATCAGTCTGTTCATCCATGCACCATCTTCTGAGTACCTACAAACCCAGAGATCCAAAGATGAATGTAACAGGGCCCTGTCCTCAAGAGGTTCACATATTAAGCAGAAAAATGCCTATTCTTTGTTTTACATGAGGTAATTCTCTCCAGCTAGATTATCAGTGTCATTTGAGATAGGACCACACAATACTTCATTAGTATAGCATTGGGCAAGCCATTAAATAGAAAATAAATATTTGTTGATTGATGACTAGTCAGGAACTGGGTGCAGACACAGAACCTTTCATCATTCCGTGATAACGGAACAACACTGTGCTCAGGAACCAGTTTCTCCCCATAAGCACTCAGGCCAGGAGCGGCTTGCTGGGAAGAATTAACACTCAGAAGGGTAATCAAGCTGAGCCTACACCCAAGTTCTAAGTGCCTCAAGGCTAAAGGGTTGAGGGAACAGAGAGGTTTGGCAATTTATAAGCAACAAGGCAGGACCTAGAAGGTCCTACCACATGCTTCCCTCTTTGCCCCACACTAAGAAGGAAACCAACTCCTTGGCATGTAGAAGCCACAGTTCTAATGGTTCTGACCAAAGCATCACATGTGGGTATCTGACCAAGCATCACATGTGAGAATCTGACCAAGCATCACATGTGGGTATAGTACTATTAAAGGGAGGGCCAGAACACTACATCCGGTCAGGCCAGAAAGTCTCTGGGTTGATGCAGGAAAACTCCCATGTCAAAAATACAGACATTGCCCAAGGCCAGCTTTAAAAGCTGCGGAAGACACCTCTTACCTGATCTGAGTCAAGTGTCACACGTAGTCCCAGTTTGGTCATTCCATCTTCTTTCAGAAGCTTCAGGTGAGGACAGAGAGCAAGGCAAAAAGCCTTGGCAACATGCTCAGTCAATCTACTGTGATCTGCAGGATCACTGAGGCAATTGTGCTGGTCATCATTTTCTAGGAAAAACACCTGTTCTCCAAACAAAAGAGATTTTTAAATTCGTTCCTGGATTTTGGTAAAATAAGTAGATTAGCTCACTGTATATGCACATCCTGATTCTCCAAGATGTGCAAGAAGACCTGACAGGAACAGGACAACCTGACAGGAACAGGACACTATAAGGTCCCTTGGCCAGGAAAAGTCGGGCACTGATGTCTTCCACCTAAAAAAAAAAACCAATCCCTGTCTCTCTGTCTCTGCATCCACAAAATGGCAGCAGTGGCCTGTCTTAGCTCCCTGCAAGCCGCCAGTGTTGCAATGGCTCATTCTTCTCAGAACTAGAAAAGGTCTCCATTTGGCATTGTGTGCCACTAAAAGGTAATCCCTATATGTGGACCATTTTCCTAGAAAATGATCTTAAGTCTAAGAGAATGACCCTTATAGATGATGTAACCCAGCAGCTTTATTTTACAATTACTCTTAGAAGGGAATTGACTGGCTTAAGTGCACAGAAGAACTTAAGAGACAGAGGAAGAGCCAAGCTGAGCTTAGCATCTGAGTCTTTTATTGCAGAGCTTTTTCCACCACACAACTCTGCCACTGCAGAGGTGGGAGCTGTGTCAGCATGCCTACACAGAGCCATGCACTCAACTGTGCACAGGCAGAAGTGGAGCACACTTGGAACTGATGACCCAAGTCCTAGTGGCATAGAGGAAGGGTCATGAGCAAGTCCCTTAAAGGACTAAAGAAAGTCAAAGGACTTTTTTTTTTTTTGAGACGAAGTCTCGCTCTGTCACCCAGGCTGGAGCGCAGTGGCGTGATCTCAGTTTCTCCCCATAAGCACTCAGGCCAGGAGCAGCTTGCTGGGAAGCTCACTGCAACCTCCGCTTCTTGGATTCAAGTGATTCTCCTGCTTCTGTCTCCCAGGTAGCTGGGATTACAGGCACATGCCACCATGCCCAGCTAATTTTTGTATTTTTAGTAGAGATGGGGTTTCACCATGTTACCCAAGCTGGTCGAACTCCTGTCCTCAGGTGATCTGTCTGCCTCAGCCCCCCAAAGTGCTGGGATTATAGGCATGAACTACCACACCTGGCCCAAAAGACTTATTTTATTTTTTGAGATGGAGTCTCACACTGTTGCCTACCGCCCAGGCTGGAGTGCAATTGTGTGACCTCAGCTCACTGCAACCTCCACCTCCCGGGTTCCAGCGATTCTCCTGCCTCAGCCTCCCCAGTAGCTGGGACTATAGGTGCGCACTACCACTCCCAGCTAATATTTGTATTTTTAGTAGAGATGGGGTTTCACCATATCAGCCAGGTTGGTCTCAAACTCCTGACCTCAGGTGATTCATCCACCACAGCCTCCCAAAGTGCTGGGATTATAGGCGTGAGCCACCATGCCTGGCCCAAAGGACTTGTTTGTTTGTTTTTTTTTTTGAGACAGAGTCTCACACTGTTGCCCAAGTTGGAGTGCAATGGCATGATCTTGGCCCACTGCAACCTCTGCCTCCTGGGTTCAAGTGATTCTCCTGCCTCAGCTTCCAAAGTAGCTGGGATTACAGGTGCTTGTCACCACGCCTGGCTAATTTTTGTATTTTTAGTAGAGATGGGGTTTCACCATGCTTGCCAGGCTGAGGACTTCTTCTTTTTTTTTTTTTTT